AGTAGTTCAACATTTGATGGTGCAAACCAAGCTTTGCAGAAATTCTGCCCTTTCAGCCAGACTAATATATTTAATCATTCCGTTGTTGAACTGCCTTCCTGTCTTCCGTTGTGGACATAACGAGTAAGTGAGTGAGTTGGATATTACGCTGCTTTTAGCAATATTCCAGCAATACCAAGGCGGGAGACGCCAGATATGACCTTCATATGGAGATAACAAAGTGCTCATAAGGGAAACAGTATACAGAAGTGATTGAAGGCGTGTGATGTAAGCCGCTTTGAACAATATATCAGTAAGATCACGGTAATTACATGGCGCTGAAACACCAAGGGTCATAACGATCCCCCGCCGCGTCATACCAAAAGACGTTAAAAAGATGGTACTTGTTGTTTCCCTGTCTGGCGCTCGGCATTAAAGGGCTAAAGCAAGGACTGGTCGGCTCGGAGTCAGTATACTGTGTCTGAGTGGGGTATTCATGTGGGCCATCGGTGTTCCAAATATGCAGTAACTGTAACCTGCATTTGTCATCAGTACATTATACCGTATGTTAAAACAACGTCTGGGTTGAACTGCGCAGACATGCACTCAAACGCACACGACCAACCGGAGTGGTGACAGGTAGTATTGACGAATTGCGTGTGTGTTGGTGAAACACCACTTTCTGGGGCGGTGGGGTAGCCTAGTGGTTAAAGTGTTCGCTCGTCACGCCGAAGGCCGGGTTCGATTGCCGACATTGGTACAATGTGTGAAACCTATTTCTGGTGTCCCCCGCCGTGATTTTGCTGGAATATTTTGTTAAAAAGCGGCGTAAAACCACTCCCACTCACCGTGTGTCGGCTCAATACAAATTCTCAAACCAAAGTGTCGCAGGTCATAGCCGAATATCATCATCTTCTTCTTTGATTAGGTCACTCACTGCGATATTTCTCGTGTTGATTCTACATAAGAATAGGTCCCCACCAAGCTGTGTTAGTCAATGGAGACAATGGATCTGGTTGTCAGGCTAGGTTACTTGATTGATTGTTGACACACACTTTATTACTTTGATAGGTGTATTGCGATGGAAACAAAGGGTCTTTATGGGGATGAATGTGGGTTATTAACTGATAAGTCAAAGGACTACTAGTACAGTAAACTACGGTTATAACAAACACGCTTATAACGAACTGACGGATATAACGAACTACTTTTTTGGTCCCTATAATTAGCTGTATTATGCTGTATATATGCTTATAACGAACTACGGTTATAACGAACTAAAATAAGTAGTCCCTTTGAGTTCGTTATAACCGTACTTTACTGTACTTCCTTTAACCAACTCACTTCACTCACAAGTCACTTCGAATTGGTTTGTTGTTATAAACAGTCGGACTCGATGGGGAAGAATAGATTTTCTAAATTTGGAAACTGTAACATTTTGGATTGATTGATCCGTAAACTAGGATTGATCCCTTAAATTAGCTCGTTCTTCCATATAAACGTTTACTGCATTGTCTCCAATGAGTCAGTGGATGTGATTCATGTCAGTTATATGAGGGCGTGATGTTTCTGACAAACATAATTCTGGCACACCAAAGGGACGCAACTCTGCACAGCAAATTGTGACGCACAAGACCAGTGGACAACCCCTGCCTCAGGTCTTAAATAAGATTTTCAACAGTCAGAACGAAGGGCACCGCGTCTACTTTGTGATTGACCTTTGAAATGAAAAGTCATATTCGGCCAGCGAGGGATACCGGGTCACAGTGGACTCTTAACCCTCTTGATGCCGAGTTGTTTTTCTGACGCACATTTTCCTAAGATCGGAAAAGTGAAGGTTGTGCGAGAATTGCGCTCACGACACACTGCCTCTGCGTCTGGCTATAACATTACGCAGAGGTGGAGAATATTAAATTCCTTTTTGATGGTGTAAATTTAACTGCAAATATTAAACCGGTTTTTAAAATAAGACACTTCTTAGTGTTGTCCGAGAATTTATTCTGCGTTGAAAAACAGTAAATTTCTCCGCTTGTTATCGTACACCGATAAAAGTACTGTGCGACGATTTTTTTGTTGTTGATAAGCTTTACGGAAACTGTAAGTGAACAAAATACTGCCTAATATCTGAACGACATAACTATATATCAAAATGGAGTTATATGCGTTATAACGACATACATTCAATGTCAAAAATAGTATGCCGTAAATGACGAAAACTGTTTTTTCCTCTATGACGTCAAAAGGCGACCGAGAGGTTACACACGTACAAAGAAAAGGGGTCAAAGCTCCGCTATGCTTAGCACTTGTTTCTTGTAACTCAGGTCACTTGGTGAGAATTGGCTGTGGGTGAGGACAATATATTTTCGTGGTGTTTTGTTCACGAGGAACCAAACTATTCCAACACTAATATCGATATTGAAACCGTATACGTTTAGTTAAGAAAAAAACCACAAGAAATGATGAAATTGTACTTCATAAAAAAAGAGGTAATAGAGAAATGGATGGCCCTATCTAAGATATAACTTAGTCCTTAGATTCCAACATTCTCCTGAATGTGTAAATGTAATTTGACTAATGTTGCACCATTATTAATGGAGCACTGGCCTTATCACCAAATGTAATGAAATACCAAAAACATATCACCATTCTATTTGAAGTCATGGCTGGTTTTATGTCTTTGATAACGTCGGAGAAAGACGACACTTGTATTTTGATTAATATATATCTCCCCTAATGTTCGTTCATAGTATGGAAAATCTCGATGTGTAAAACGGAATTTAACGCTCTTTCGACACAACATAAAATGCCTGCTTTTACCAAGTAAATAATGTCTTGAATAAATAATCAATTAGGTAGGTTATCGTGTATCTTAATTGGACAAGACACGCTACTGTTTGACAATTTCTGTTGAAAATATCAAATCATTGCAATGTATCTATTTTAAATTCCCTAATTCTTACTTCGATTCTCTTCCCATGAATATTCTGAAAATGGTGAGTCGATATCTTCAACGAATAGACGAATGAATAGCTCAAAATAGGAGAATATGCTACATTGTGTAAAATCTTAATTTTGCTTTGTTTACATTTCAAACAAGTGCAGTTTTTCGAGCACAACGTTCGTTTTCACGCCTAACTTATTTTGCTTGATTTAATCTAGGCACTTTGTATTGGGGACATGGATCATTAGTCATTTGATTCTAAAATGTATGAGGAATTCAAGGATGTATGTATCGCAGCTACGTTTGAAGTATACGTGATGTTACAGGCGCCTCACAACCAGTGTACGTGAACGTGATTTTGTAAACACTATCCAATATGGCGGAAAGTTCACTTCGGCGTTCGTGTTTGCGTATTTTCCAAAACATTCTAAACGATTCTAGGGTTTTCGGAGACGTTTTGGAATGATCACTGGTGATTTCATAAAAGACAGATACCCGTGATCACTTATATGCTATTTTTGAAATTCATTTCTCCTAGTAAATATCCGACATTTAGATTTCAAAACATGCTGTAAATAACGCCGTGAGTGGTGATTTAGTAATGTGGAAAACATGGCGACATTTACGATGCACCTAATTTTCAGAGGTCATTTTCAGTGCTTTTGCGTGGCCTAAAATGCCAGTGGACAGAACAGAACAGGGAATTTCCCACCTTATTCAAAACTGTGAAGTGTATCTGTGTGGATGATGTATTTTGAATTTTATTCGACTTCAAAGTGAGGGTTGTAGAGAAGGGACATATATGTCCCTCTGGCATCCAGGGGGTTAAAGCCTCACGTTTAAGAACCGACTAATCTGAAGGTCTGGTAATCAGACTGTGTCTTTGTCGAATGGTTTTAGACACTGCTTTGACTGGTACAGGTTCGATTATACACCGTGATAAAGCTGGAAAAGCGTTGACCGCCTCTTTGAATAGAATTCACCCATGCATATTCAGCAGAAAAGGATCTCTTCCCCTAAAGTTCTATCGTATCACTATTCAAGCTTCGTTTCCAAATTGCGCGGATCGGGTGGTCAGGACCCGTGAATATTCCGGGGTAGAATAGGCCTTGCTTGCCGTAAAAGGCGACTATGCTTGTCGTAAAAGGCGACTAACGGGATCGGGTGGTCAGGCTCGCTGACTTAGTTGATGCATGTCATCGTATCCCAATTGCGTGGATCGATGCTTATGATATCAATCACTGGATTGTCTTGTCCGTACTCGATTATTTACAGACCGCCGTCATACAGCTGGAATATTGCTGAGTGCGCGTTAAAGAACAAACAAACAAACACTATTTTTTCAAGCAAATGGGTTCACATGTTTTCTCCATGAGGGGAATCAACCCGGATATCGATATGACAAGTGAACGTTTTAACCGCGTGACAAGACCATCATGTATTTTCTAGTACTTTTATAGTTGAACACCCAACAGTTAAATGCATCCAATCAACAGGTCGATGTTCACACATTGGCATGGTTGCTTGGCAACAGTTAACGCCACAGCATCACAGACAGACATATAAGTTGCTCTTTTGTAATCTATAACAGTTTGCATTTTCATTCAAGACCACCGTGGATGTCATTGGACGCGGATTGCTGCCAGGCATTTTCCATCCACTGAATGTAATGTTAGTAGGTGTCTCCAGCACTGTTCTACTTCCCCACAATAGCTTTGTGAATGCCCCCTGGCGGGATCCAAGGCCGCGACCAACAGTTGATCCACCCGTTACAGCTGTTGACAGATGTGAGTGCCGGGGGCTGCCTTGATTAGACATAAACAAGAAGGCCAATCGATACCACAAGCCGATTGACATTGGTCATTGTGAATTCAGGTTCTGAAATCACGGAATTCACTGTTGCGTATTCTTGTGGAATGACTGATGAATATTCCCATAGCGCATTACACAGGCAGTTCGATTATCGGAAGAATAAGGTTGAAGCTGCCCGGCACCATAGGTGTGGTACGGCGCATTATACTACCGAGTTGAGATACGTAATTCAGTAACTACAGCGGTTCGCCATCCATATTTCATGTCTTTGACGCTCGTTAGCATAATTGGGGAACTCGGTCGCAATATATTGAGGACGGAATCCCAGCTCACGGCTTCGATTCACGAGTTAGGCGTATGAAGTAAACTGCCCGTGGCTTCCATAGGTATTGATCTTGGCTGTAGTTGGAACCTGACAGAAATCATATGACGTTGTCCGCAGTGTGTGGTTGTACACAATGAAGCGAAGACAGTAGGGCAGGAACGAGCTCCTGAAACCGTCTTGTTTCTTATCGATCGAGTGGAACTGTACGGCAGTAGGGGAAAGTCTTCCCAGAGAGGACGGCAGCAGAAGGTTGGGTTGCCTCTGCTTAACGTATCGCTCAAGTGTCGTCTGCTCTTGTGAGAAAGCGCGGGAAAGTGTGAGTCACGCGCCAAGCTACCGGGAACCGTCATTAGATTAGCAGACGACAATGTAAACGATTCGTGAAAAGACATTTCTTCGATATGGACACCCCAGCATTACTGTTACAACATGGAGGTCTCGTATGTACTGGGGAATTTCGGATCGAATCCAAGATGGCGACCGGACCCTGGAATGGGGAAACGCCGACGTTAATACTGTCACAATGACCATCGCGACTTAATGTCATGTTTCACCGATACTGTTAAGCAATCTCGAAGTCTATGCATGACCCAGGGGTGTTAGTTTCGGCCAGAACTGATCTACTCATCACATCGTACTATTCTCTTTCTCTGTTGTGCCTTCTTTGCCTCTCAAGTATAGTGCTAGTGATCCGTGCTATTCAGATAGTAATGGGCAACGAGGGGAGTGCTCACTCGTCTGAATGCAGCACACCACTTTCTGAGTATGCATCTATGTATTCGTACTCCCTGGGGTCCCGACCCCGTTCGTCTGTCCCCTCCACAAGGGCCCCTTCCCCAACGTTGCCCCCCGAGCCCGATCTCAGCCACCTAAGTCCCGAGGAAGTCGCCAAGATAAAGAGTGTGATGGACCGCGCCAAGAATATGCAAGCTCAGGAGCAGATGCGCGTCAGGTAAGAGCTCACATGTTAAATTAATCATCTTAAGCGTGTGTTTTTATTGATTTCCTGTGCGTGCGCTGCACGCGCATTCTGAATCTCTTAACGGCGGCGCGTCCACCAATGGTTTTAGCCAGAAATGATGATTCATTTGTTCATGTGTCAGCAATGATGAACCGCATTTGGATAAAGTCACCGTCCATGGTTCCTTCTGCTGAGGAATTTTCTATTGTTTGTTACACGTGTGTATTTCTGTATGGATATGTGAACAGTCTTCTCCCTAGAGTGTCAGGTAAGACGTTGCTATGACGCAAAATACATGAAATAGATCCCTTTGTTGTCATCTTCAAGCCAACAACGGCCCACAAGGAAAAGAAAGCCCTTCTTGCCTGTGTGAAACCTGAGATGTAATTTTGTTAGAAACATAGTCTGTATTATGGTACATTAATCAGTTTTCGAACGCGAACAGCTTAGATTTTATGTTTTTAAAGGTTATAATTGTACAAAATCATATTGACGCAATAATAAATTATTCAAAATGAAAATATGATAATAATAAATAATTGTACAGAACTTGTTGTTTTCATATTGACGCAATAATAAATTATTCAAAATGAAAATATGATAATATTAACATACGTGTAGGGAGTCATTTGTATACAGTTACATCTAAATAAATATTATGTTTCATTTGTAACATGACGGCTTTCAGTCAGAAGCAGATCTTTATCACGCAGACACACGTCATAACGGCATGCTCCTGTGTATTTCTATATCCATACTAATTATATTGAACGAAAACACGGAACGCTGTTCGTGAATCATCACCCGAAATGTCACTCTATCCTTCTAAAGTCTGACCTAACGAAAGGTTGTTTACGCAATCCAACAGATTAAAAATACCGTGTTACCAAAGAAGGTGTTACGCCCCCAACTGTCTCTTGTGACGTCACCAATACAGCTGCCCTACCACCCCCAACTGTGGCAAACCTTGTCCTGTTAGATCTTTTGTTTCGAGATTAACGATGCTGGGAAAATAAAATGTCAATCAGATAATTGCTGCAGACTATCCCAAAACGGACCCACCCACTCCCAAACAGCCTTCAGAGGTGTTGGTAACCTCTGTCAAGGTAGTGCATTATTTATGGCTTGATTGCAATCGGCCTCGTGGGACCATGGTCTCTTTGTTGTAACGTAAATGGTATTGAACCTATACGAGGACCCTGGTCTACTGCACTCGTCTCCGTTGACTAGTGGTAGAGCGTCCGCCCGGAGAGCGGAAGATCCGGGGTTCGATCCCCGACCGCGTCATACCAAAAGACGTTAAAAAATGGTTCTTGTTGTTACCCTGTCTGGCGCTCGGCATTAAGGGGCTAAAACAAGGACTGGTCGGCTCGGAGTCAGTATACTGTGTCTGAGTGGGGTATTCATGTTAAACTGCGGCATGGTATCTCAGTGAGCTAGCGCTATAAATCGGCATCAGTCCGGACTAGTACAAGCAGCCACACAAACACACACACGTACATGCACGTCGCTATATAAGTGCAATAATCTTGGACGCGACGTTAAACCCCATTTCACCTCACCTACTGCACTCGTAGGTTACCGTTAAGAGACATATCCACATTCTGACGGATCTGTAAACGCAAATACATTTCTTATATGGTGAAAGGCCTTGTAGGCGTTTATCGTGACAAATCTGTACTACAGACAACCAATATTATGGGTCCCAGAGATTAAAACAAGGGTAAAATGTACTGTAAATTGTATCATAAGAATGACGATGAGAGGTCATTTTATAACACATCATCTTTATTTATAATCTATAGTTAGAACAAATTATACGTTGACAAAAGTGCCATTGACTTGGCAATTAACGTCAACGTTAAAACAACGTTATCACCCATTTGGAAGATATTTAATCATTTGAATTATCTGCGATATTGTTCTTTAACGAATTAACATTTCGTACGTAGTATTCTTGCGTACCGTATTGGTTGGATATAACGAAATGATCAGGACAGTTTACAAAGACCTCCATGTCTTTGATGGGTAGCACCGTCACGGCCTCAGCCTCTTCCTGGGCGCTGTCATTACCAGTTATTTTAGCACTTCCGGTATGGTATCGACCAGGGAGCAGACGACACGGTGTTACATCAGCCGATCATTACGGTCAGTGAAGAACAGGGGCCGCGTGAGTTGTGAAACTATCTGCTCTAAACATCCATTATCTCCCAATAACAGATGTAAAAATGCCAGCCGCCGGTATATAGATCTTTGCATCAAGCCGACAAAGGTTAGCTGTGTTATTTGAGGTTGGGTTCAACTGACGGTAACGAGTGGTTGTTCTGAGCGTAGGTTCGGAGAGAGTGAGTGAGTTTGGTTTTACGCCGCTTTTAGCAATATTCCAGCAATATCACGGTGGGGCACACCAGAAATGGGCTTCACATATTGTACCCACGTCGGGAATCGAACCCGGGTCTTCGGCGTGACGAGCGAACGCTTTAACCACTAGGCTACCCGACCCCCCTGTAGGTTCGGCAAACTTCGATATGTAAGATATCATCTATTAACACCAGATGCCAATAGACTCGCGAGTAATCTATGCCATTCTTTGATGGTTGCCCGATGGAATCTGTTTCGGTGGATAATCAAGATTGACTATTAATTAGTTAATTAGTCTTTTAAATTTAAATGTACCGTCATAATCTGGTTTGAAACGGCGTAAGATGTACTCATCTGAGATTGTTGTTCAAGTGTTTGAATGTTCGAGTTACTGTGACTTTGGTTTGAGAAAATTGACAAAAGCGGGGCAATTTTGCTACTCCCTCGCTAATGACCCTTTGACATGTTTACCACATTGTATCATGTCCCTTTGAAAAGTTATATACACCTCAAACGCTTTCTGAAATTATTTGTTCAAGCCACCCAGAACACGGAGCAAAAATACCGTATTCTGTAAGTTCACATCGTTTAAAGTGGTCTACGGAAATTAATTAAAGAAGGATGCTTGGCGCCGCAGCCAACACTCCCTACTCAGATAGCTTGCAACACGACCACTCTATGGGTTAGAATTGGTCTTAATCAACCAATGCGTGTCGTAGGAGGTGACTAACGGGATCGGGTGGTCAGGCTCGCCTGCTTGGTTGATGCATGTCATCGTGTCCCAAATGCGGAGATCGATGCTCTTGATGGCTGAGACTTGATTATTTATAGACAGCCGTTACATAGCTGGAATATTGCTGACCGCAGCGTTAGACAACATTGTCAAACAAAACAATGCAACACTATAACAAGTCCCGGTGTGAAGCACACACAGAGGTTTTGCTTGTTTCTTTGTTGTTTAACGCCACACTCAGCAATAGTCCAGACGGCGGTCTGTAAATAATCGAGTCTGGACAAGACAATCCAGTGACTGACATCATGAGCATCGATTCACGCAATTGGGATACGTTGACATGCATCAACCAAGTCAGCGAGCCTGACCACCCGATCCCGTTAGTCGCCTCTTACGACAAGCATGGTCGCCTTTTACGGCAAGCATGGTTATTTCACTAATCTTTGTTTATAAATCATTAATAAGTAGATGGTTTTAATGGACTCGAATAAAAGTAATTATTATTATAAGTTCTTATTATTTATATTGCAAACATACACTTCTTACAGTGTAGAATGTAAAGATTAGGTTTTACCTTTGTCCTTGGGATTCTTATACAGTAGCATGTCATTTCTTAACTTTGAAATTGCAAAATCTATTCTTTTTATATATTGGCATCGTTTCTCAAAAGCCATACAGTCTGTTATCTTATGTCACTCAAGTACCACAAGAATGTCACTTGTTATTTGAGGGGGCACGGGTGGCCCAGTCGTCTAAGGCGCCGCAATTCGCTGTGCAGAGTTGCGTCCCTTGGGCAAGCCAGAAACCTATGATTGTGGGTTCGAATCCCGGTTCGCCCCGATTATGTTTCTAGGTTTGTCAGCACCATACCCGTGCTCGTGAGTTAAACTCACGAACTGGTAAACGTCTGAGACCTGCATCACTTCGGGCTTTCCTCCCACATTAAGCTGACACGCCGTGATATAACTGGAATACTGTTAAAAGCGGCGTTAAACCCAACTCACTCACTCACTCACTTGTTATTTGAAACCAAAATATGTGTTTAATACACAAACAAGCTGTGTGATTTCAATGTACAACTATCAAACATGTGGATTGTTAACGACTAGTACAATTTGCTGGCATTATGAGGATAGTCTTTTTATAATTCAAACTTTTAAGAAAGCAAAAATAAGTTAGCAGCTTTCATGTTTTCTCATCCGAATTCTACATGTGCGTCATTGTATTGATAAACCATGTGGATCATGATGCCACAGACACGTCAAACGGGACGAATATAGAATGGGGAACGCGCCCTATGTGACCTTCGCGTCGTATAAAGCATCCATTACACGAGGAGCAGAGAATACATGGCGCATGTCTAAATGAAAGATTGATTGATAACAAGGATGTGATATTGAACAGTATCGATCTGAGGATTGGCGTTAATTAGACAGTGCGTGGGAGGAGATCGGGCCGATAATGCACCGTAATTACTGACATAGTGAAGGAATTTACCTCTTGCCACTGTAGGATTGGAAGAAGAGACACTGAGACACATAGAACTGTCTACTCAGCACATGTTTGATGAGTGCTGCCACTATAGGGTTACGACCTTTTCTCTGTATGAGAGTCAGAAACACATGCGCATGAAGAATCGTACAACGGACTCTGATCTTGCGGGTCAGGGTGCGCTCAACTCTTTGCGGTCAACCGTTATCGGGCTCGAACACGGGCTTATGATATAGCCGAAATCGTACAATGGAGTGAGTGAGTGAGTTGGGTTTAACGCCGCTTTTAACAGTATTCCGGTAATATCACGGCGTGTCAGCCAGCTTAATGTCGGAGGAAAGCCGGAAGTGATGCAGGTCTCAGACGTTTACCACTTCGGTGAAACCCACGAGCACGGGTATGGTGC